GCTAGCTTAGCAAATTTAGTAATATTTGAGACTTGGCAATAGGGATGAGCTCTTCCTTATAAGTTTAGGGATATGTATGCACATACCTGCAAGTGATAGACACACAGGCTCTTCCCCCATCCTTTTTCTTGGTTTTTTGAACCTTATGACAGTTTCTTTTAATAGCTTTTCTAAACTTTTTGCCTTTAGTTTTTAATTTCTGAAAGATCTCTAAAGTGGATTGTGGCATTACACCTGCACAGAGTTAGACCTTCATAGATGTGGTTTTTAACAAATTCTGATTACACTGACAAAAACTTAGAGGAAAGGATCTTTAAGCAGGGTTCTCCAACTGATCTTGAACAATGATATAGAAAGCTTCCATATGAAATTTATCTTAATGTCCAGTGGCAAACATGGTAACACTCAAAGTGTCAGTACAGAAATGTAGATAGGCATGAAGTATTTAAATGTCCAAGACTAGCAAGAATTGGATCCCAGAAGTGCACTGCTTGACTTGTATGCTTAACTTCAAGCAAATTACTAAATACTCTTGACTTCAGTGAGGATTACCATTTTAGTTTAAACATTTTTTTTATAAGGCCCAGTGGATACTGTGTGGTATACTGGTACAGTAAGGGGAATAGGTAATGTCACTTTCTTTTTTATTTTCTCTGATGTCTCCCCTCCTATCTACTGTAGAAGAAAACATTCCAGTAGAATTTAAAAGAAATTGCTACTTAACTGGGTTCTGAAAGAAGAAATCTGTCAAAAATCAAAAGACTGAATAAAACCTTGATAATGACCTGCTTTAAGAAGCAAGGGTCAGTTAAATGATTTGAAGAAAAAAGTTATTTTTCATGCAAGCATGTTAAATAATGTAATTTAGATACTAAAATTCTCTAAGGAGGATAAAAGCACAGGTTCCTATAATCTTCTTTTCTGTACAGCTAAATCTTATGTAGTGTCAAAAAGAGAGTAAAGGGGAAAGAGTTGGGCTCAGATGCCAGTAAAAGTCTTTTGCAGCAATTGATACCTCCTTGTTTTTTAACCATTGCCTGTGTGCTTAGTGCTATACTTGTCCGTTGCTGCTTAGCTAGATTTTTGATGTATGAAAGCCCATTTGGTTTTCAGACATCAGTCATGGAAAAAAAAACAAACTCAAAAACCTAAACAATAGATTTTATGGACCTGGAGTGTAACAAAAAGAACTTAAAACAACTGTGATAGTTTCTCGTCAGGTCCATGTAATTCCTACTGAAAAGTTAGGGAGAATTTGCAGTAATCTACAGACAATAGCGATATTTTTTAAAATAACCATGAGTACCTTTTTAGAAATCTGACCTGTAACTTCAAAAACCACCATAGTCTTTTCATCTCTCCCTTGGAATTATCTTGTGCTTTAGACTTCAACAATAAGGTTTATTTGATAGACCACTGGTTTATGAAATTATAAAATACCAAATATTTCTGATCTATGTTTGACCTTGTCACTATTCTAATTGAAACAGCATTCCTGGGGGGAAAATGTTCTTTGGAGTGAACCTACTGATGTCTTGTTCATTATATGAAGAAAACCACAGAAAAATCCTCACAACTCCTCAAACACTACAGTATTATGAACACTGAACCTTCCATATAGCAGTATCCTGCAGACTTACCACTTGTATCCTAACAAATTTGCATTGAGTATTATGTACATAATTCAGTGGCATGCACATTTTAAAAGCCAGTTTGTACTAAGTGTATAAGAACTTAAGGTGATTAATGTGGAGAACAATAACCTGACCTGTTGGCCCTGACTGTGTAGTTAAAAATATTAACTGTAACTTAGTTTTGCTCTTTCAGTTCAGTTTTGTCAAAAAATGAGAAATTTTGTAAAATTTGAGAAACCACAAACTGCATTGTACATGGTACTTAACATAATAAGGATGTAGAAACATGGCTTTTCACAAAGAACTGTTACTTCAGTTTTGTCCTGACTGAGAAAATAGTGTTATCTAATGGCTAGAAGGTATGCCAGTGAAGTGTAGAATACTGTAAATAAGTAAATAATGTTTTGATTCTAAACTCAGATTGAATTAATATATTGTTTTATATCTTTGTTGTGTTAAACATATTTAAAAATACTAAAATAAAATATTTGAAAGATGACAAATGCTTGATTTATTTTATATGAAAAATGATGGATCGTCTCAGTGCTGTGACTGAAAGTAATTCTGAGCATAGGTGTGATGGTGTTATGAGGTTTTGCTTCAGTATGGAAGTAATGCTGACAAAAAATAATTGGCACATGCTGTGGGAATTTGTTATAAATATGTGCATATACATAATTTCTGGATAAGTAACTGTTCTGGGTGATGCAGGAATTACAGGTTTACAGCTGTGGTCTTAAGTTTTCAGCTACCTATAATGGGTTTTTTTTTTGTTTTGGCACTGATCTGTGACAGATTCTGGTAAAATTACTGGTTTTCCCTGGAACAGGGAAACAGCTGCCAAATACTAAATTCCTGTTGCTGTCAAAATTGTATGAAGTTTGATACTAGGATAGGATAAGTACTCACTGGACTGTTCACAGAAGTAATTTGACTTGGGCAAAATATTGACAGCCAATTTGGTAACAGGTCTGTTTTTTTCTAATAGTGTCACTAGTTTATCAAAAGGTTCTTTTCAAGTTCTAGTGCCACAGAATGCAAGATCGGTTTGAAAGAGGCAATGCTTTTCAAACAAGTATTCATCATTCAATCTAAATATTTTAAAAAAATCATTCTTTCTCCCCCTCGCTCTGCTACATGAAGTCATCAAAACTGAATCTGTCTCTTGATCACTGATAGATTTTCAAGTACTCTAATTGGAGGCTAATAGCCCTAAAGAGAAGGGGCAGAAGGAAGAAGAGGAGACAACAGCAGGCAGCAAGTTTGCTTTGCTTACAGTAATGCTGATGAAGGGTCTTTAGGCAATATAGGCAATAGGAATTCATAAATATTGTGAAGGAGAGTGGAGAATGAAGCTCATGTGGAGTACAAAAAATATGCAAGAGGTGACTGTCCACTAAGGAATCTCTGATGTGCGAATGAAGCGCCAGAAAGGGGCTGATAACATTAACCTGAAATTTTACTGGATTTTGCCACTTCATTAAAAGTCTTATCACAAAGACTCCTTCCAGAGTTTTTTGATTCAAATAATTTCATGATATTACAGGTTTGTGGGGTATTTTTGGCAAATTAAACAGATAAGACTTCTGTATCCTAATGGCACTTCAAAAAAGATTCCTTGATGGTTTTTGTTAGTGTTGCAGGGAAGTTTGTAATACTGAATCTGTACAGAACAATAACCTAATGTGACTTGTTTACACAGGCATGAAACCTGTGATGTGTCATAAAAAATTTGGTGCATGATTCTGCCAGAAATGCAATGAGTGATGTTGTGCCCATCCTCCCCTGCTCCAAGCGAGGAACCAAGCTGCTTTTCATGTTACGGCAGAAGGGAAAGGGAGCATGTCCTGCTGGGCTGGAGGAGCAGGAGTGGCAGTGCTGTGCTCCAAAGGGCCTTCCAGAGGCACACCTGAACTTGGTTTGCTCCAAGTGGCAGTTTGACCTACAAATAAGTCCAAGTGATGGAGAGAGAAGACAGCAAAGCACAAGCTTCATCTTCTGTAAAACCACAAATGTTCTTTTGCTTCAGGCTCCAGCCAAACTGTAGTCAGTGCCCAGATTAGGCCTGGGTTCTTCCAGTCCTTGTTTCCCAGTGGGTCCCAGTCTATCTTAGCAAGTTCTGCTTTCTTTTGTGAGACACTGTCTAGGCTCTGGAGGATGTTCCATAGCTCAGTTTCCTGATGAGAGATTTGAAGGTGCTCTCCTGCTCCCACACCAGCAAACAGCGCTGCAGCGGGGCACTGCTCAGTGCCAGTGCTCCTCAAGAGGACAGCAAAGTTTGTTAGCAAGTGCTTCCATGAGGGTGCCAAAAAGTGATTCAGTCTCTGAGTAACAGGGTTGCAACACTTGGCCAAAGGCTCTCCCTCTTGTTTGTCCTGCCAATTAAAAATAGCCCCTGGCTAATGCCGGGGAATGTACCAGCCCTACACGGGACAGGTGCAAGCTGTCAGTCAGGGGGCTGGGAACACCCAGAAAAACATCTCTGCAGGCTGGCTCTCCTGCTCTATGAGATGATCAAGAGGAGAGAGCAGAGGAAAGAGGAGAGAGCAGAGGAAAAAGGAGAGAGGTTTGCAGCAGGCTCTGCTGAAGGTGGCCCTTGTTGAGGGTCTCTGGCTTCTCTGGAGACAAGTCCTTCCGAAGGTGCTCTTCTGTTTGGT